TAGTTGTGTTTTTTTTCTTCCATACACATCTTATTGGTGATTACAGTAACTGTGGCTGAACAGCCCTGCTGGTGACTGGCCTGAGGTGTCAAAGGTCATGCAGTGTAGATGAGATGAGCGCAGAGAGGACTACAGTATAGCCTATGTACCAAAGACTGAAGGGTAGGGTATCTGATGAGGTGTGACGTCTAGTATGAAACATCTGCCCTCCTCCAACATGGCCTGAGTGCCAGTCGGTTTCTGCTCTCTTTCCAACTCCTTGGCATGGTAGCACAAAGGGAAAGGGGAAAGGGATATCTAGTCAGTTGCACAACTGAATTAATTCAACTAAAATGTGTCTTCCTCATTTAACTCAACCCCTTTGAAATCAGAGAGACAAACATACTGGCACTTAGGCTACCTCCAATGTGTCTGTTATAAAACTGTAAAGATCAGAGAAAATCATTTGAACACCATTGTTAAGAATAAAACTGTTATACAATGATGTAGTGGAGCATTACTGAACACCATGGAGTATGTATCACAAAAACCCAGGGATACATTTTCGGGGTCTAAACAGTTGCCATCATTATAGTTTTATCACTAGTTTTACATTGATGTTAACACTTTCCAGGTTTCCATGTTTTGATTGGTATACCGGTGTAGCAGAAAGATAATCCAAAAGCTCTGAAGTTATTAATATTGTCTATTATTAAGACAACAGGGATTCTCCTTATTCCAGGATGTTGACAGTGGGGCACAGCATTGCTTAAGCACTCAGTTTGTAACATCTAACAACTTCAGTGTTGCAGGTTAGCAAAAGTTAAAAGTATTTTTCCGGTATCGTTTTCAAATAACTTGTTTTCAGTAAAAAACAATCTGTTTTTGCATTTCAAACTTGTTTAAAACCTATAACCCCAATATCTAGCCCAGTTACTGTAAAACATTAAGATTTTTGTCAATGTAGATTTTAGTGGTGCAGTTATTAGTTACAAGAAGTGGTAACACTTTACTTGACACCCTGTGTCATAACACTTTATGACAGGGTCATAATCAGGTCATAATATGTCATAACAGCTGACATAATGTGTCATAACCTGTTATAATATGGTCATGACACTGTCATGACAATTGTTTTTAGGCCTGTTGTGGCATGTATTGAGTTATTTTATGGCTGGTTAAGACACCTACATAAGACTGTAAAACCCCACAAAACCTACCACACAAGTCTAAACATTCCATTACATCATAGCCTACGTGTCAACAGTATGTTTATGATATATATAACATTTTTGGAAATTGACCAATTATCATTGTACTTGAGCACAAATTGATGTCAGACATGCACCTACCCCTATGCTCTGTTGCTGATGAATGGGATGAATGTAGGAGGAGATTTCAGGAGCAGGACAAGACACCCTCTTTTTGACTGATGACTGATATAAGGGCATGATAGGCCTATCTGGCTTACATGATTATGATGGTCATAGTGTTTCGTGACAGTGTCATAAAGTTTATTTTCTTAGTCCAAGTAAAGTGACACAAGATGGTCAAAATGCATCTTGACAGTGTCATAAAGTGTATTTTCTTAGTCCAAGTAAAGTGACACAGGATGGTCATAATGCTTCATGACAGTGTCATAAAGTGTATTTTCTTCAAGTTATTTAAAATATGATGAAAGAAAATGACTGTAAAGAATTAATTACAACAAAAACAAAGGATTTAAGAGACAAACTTTTAAATGGAAGGAAACATCTTGGCAGTGAAAACAATAAGTGAATAAATGTGGGTTCTGACACTCTTCTGTAGGTGTCATAACCAGCCATAAAATAACGCAATATATGTCACAACAGGTGTAAATATATGGGTCATGGCAGTTTTATGACCATATTATGACAGGTTATGACAAGTTATGTAAGATGTTATGACATATTATGGCATGGTTATGACCGCATCATAACGTGTTATGACACTGGGTGTCAAGTAAAATGTTACCCAAGAAGTGATCACCAGAGAGTGCTGTTTTAGAGAAATGTGTCTTTGTGGCTGGGTGCACGTTACTTTGACTCAAACTTCTATAAGAGTTTTCTTTCTTTTCTTGTCTGTGCTTCTCTGCTGTAAAGACAGACAGACAGAGGTCAGTGAATAAGATAACTGAAACTAATACAGCATGTTACACTGAAAAGACTTGAGCCAAATCCTACCTTGAGATACACTATATATACAAAGGTATGTGGACTCCCCGTCAAAGTAGTGGATTCGGCTATTTCAGCCACACCCATTTCTGACATGTGTATAAAATCGAGCCATGCAATCTCACAGGACAAACATTGGCAGTAGAATGGCCTTACTGAAGAGCTCAGTGACTTTCAACGTGGCACCGTCATAGGTTGCCACCTTTCCAACAAGTCAGTTCGTCAAAATTCTGCCCTGCTAGAGTTGCCCCGGTCAACTGTAAGTGCTGTTATTGTGAAGTGGAAATATCTAGGAGCAACAACGGCTCAGCCACGAAGTGGTAGGTCACAAAAGCTCACAGAATGGGACCACCAAGTGCTGAAGCGCATAAAAATAATCTGTCCTCAGTTGCAACTCCCTCTGGAAGCAACATCAGCACAAGAACTGATCGCCGGGAGCTACATGAAATGGGTTTCCATGGCCGAGCAGCCGCACACTAGCCTAAGATCACCATGCGTAATGGCAAGCATCGGCTGGAGAGGTGTAAAGCTCGCCGCCATTGGACTCTGGAGCAGTGGAAACGCGTTCTCTGGAGTGATGAATCACGCTTCACCATCTGGCATTCTGACGTACGAATCTGGGTTTGGTGGATGCCAGGAGAATGCTACCTGCCCCAATGCATAGCGCCAACTGTAAAGTTTGGTGGAGGAGGAATAATGGTCTGGGGCTGTTTTCCATGGTTCGGGCCCTTTAGTTCCAGTGAAGGGAAATCTTAACGCTACAACACACAATGACATTCTACAAGATTCTGTGCTTCCAACTTTGTGGCAACAGTTTGGGGAAGGCCCTTTCCTGTTTCAGCATGACAATGCCCCCGTGCACAAAGCGAGGTCCATACAGAAATGGTTTGTCGAGATCGGTGTGGAAGAACTTGACTGGCCTGCACAGAGCCCCGACCTGAACCCCATCGAACACCTTTGGGATGAATTGGAACGCAGACTGCAAGCCAGGCCTAATCGCCCAATATCAGTGCCCAACCTCACTAATGCTCTTGTGGCTGAATGGAAGCAAGTCCCCTCAGCGATGTTCCAACATCTAGTGGAAAACCTTCCCAGAAGAGTGGCGGCTGTTATAGCAGCAAAGAGGGGACTAACTCCATATTCATGCCAATGATTTTGGAATGAGATGTTCGAGGTGTCCACATCCATGTTCGAGGTGTCCCCATACTTTTGGAAATGTAGTGTATCTACTAGTAACTCAAACTTGCGTACATCATGACATGCATTCACGTCAATAGGGGATTGGTGAGGAAGTTGACTTTGCTGTTTCAAAAACAGACAACTAGAGAGACATTCACCTGTTTAATTAGTGAGAAAGAGAAACCTCATGCCTTTTGGAGGAATTTGAACCATCATCAGAAGCTACAAGGAAAACATACACAACCATATTCTAAAATGGATACAGTCCAACACAATACATCCATGACAAATGGTGACCAACTACAAGATGAAGCATTTTCTTTCAGTTTCAGTGACCAAGTCAGAAGCAGAATAAAGGCAGGCACTTACTGTTGGCCTGAACAAAGCCTGAAACAGAGATAAACATGCTGAACATACATGCTGATGTTGAGGGTTCGGCTTCAGTGTTTAGGGTTTGATCACCTGTCAGCCTTTCACACACAGTGTTCTGTTCTTCATCTCTGTTCTGTAAGGCTGTGTAGTCCCTGAGTGTATAAAGCTAGTAGGTGAAGTCTGAAGCCTGCTGCCTGACCTGGGAAGTCCCCAGACAGCAACAGGAGATACAAAGCTTCTCTAAAGCAGAGATGACTGGAGTCACAGCTCCCTCTATAGACAGCCTGTATACAGCAATGATTTAGTGCTGGGCGGGCCACAGGAATAAGAGTTGCCAAAACCTTGCTTGGGTCATACAGGAATTAAAATGGGTGTCTCTGTAGCCTACTGTATTCAGTAATGCAGATGCTCGCACTCTCAATACCATCTATGGTGCAATGGGTGTGTTGTGACAATAGGTTATGTGCTTTTGCATCATCACAATCTCCATATAATACAAAACTACAGCTTAATAACGTCATGTAATTTGATTGTTCTAGGTGGTAACAGAAACTCAAGAAAATCTAGAGAACATGTCAAGCTTGAAATAGTCCCCGTCTGGTGATGTCTGGTTATGATCTACACAGAACACGGCTAGTTGCCTGAGATCAGGAAATTCATGATGACATTACAGAGGCAAGCTAGTTGATGCTAATTCCATGTTCATTGCATTGACCAGAAAGTACAAATACACACAATGAATCATGGTATTAACAATCCAATTTTATTCCTGGAAATCACTCTTACATACAGAAAAACACAGTAATCAGCCGTCATGAATACTTTGTGGTATATTTTGAAGCTATTGTGGAAAATAATAGTAAATGCATGTAAATAATGAATGTAAATAATGAATGTAAATAATGATTGTAAATAATGAATGTAAATAATGAATATAAATAATGATTGTAAATAATGAATGTAAATAATGATTGTAAATAATGAATGTAAATAAGACAGAAGCAGTACTGCCATGTGATGTCATCTATAAATATGGGTGAATATTAATTGTTCTCCAAACGCTGACAAAGGCTGCCGCCTAAACGTATCCATTTGTTCTGACCTCTGCTACTAAAAAGAGCATGAAAACTTAAAGAATATTTCAGTGACTGCGGGTTTTTCCTATCTTCAAGTATTGTGTGGTATATTCATATGAGCTGTGATACCGGATTTGACCAGACATTATATTGTGTTCAATGTGAGATGAAATATCCTATCAGTCGGTAGCACTTTTCAGCTGGCCTCACTGTCCTTCAATAAAAGTCCTCCTTTCTCTGCTTCTCTCCTGTGAGACAAACAGACAGACAGACAGACAGACATCTGGGTTGACAAAGGAAAGGTTGGGGAATTGATTTGCAGAAGGATGGACGGACGGACAGACAGAGAAGCATAATCTAACAAGAGTACAAGCCACTTGATGCCACTGGACCCTTACAGATACAGTACATTACCTGTTTAATTAGTGAGAGAGAAACCTCACACTGTATCTGGTTCTGCTGTGTCATGGACGGGTTGGAACCATCATCAGAGGCTAACACAAAACAGAGGGATCCAAATAGTTAGAGTCCTTTAAAAGCTGTATTAAGCATCAACACTGTACATACCAACCCACGCCATGTTCAAATACATGTGGGCTTCTCCAGGCTTCTTCAATATTTGTAATGTACTGTACTCAGTCACATATTCTTTCTGTCGTTGCTCACCTGTCCTCATCCTGTTCCACATAATAAACCCAGCTATGGTGAAGAGGGCTAGGAGGATGACAAAACACTACTCCAATGATGATGAAGCCATATTCAGGAAGCTTGTCTGAGTTTATGAACAAACACGCATGCACACATAGTGAATATTACTGTAAATCATTGCATTCTCTGTCATATTGAAAAATATGATTCATCTTACCACTGTTTGTTTTTATCACAGACTGATCCAGTTTGATGGTGATGATGTTTTCTTTGTGTTCAACCACACAGGTATAGTTGTTGTTCTCCCACTCCTCAGAGTCCATTGTGAGGTGAGTACTTTTCTGGAAGGTTCCATCTAGATTAGGGAGAGTCTCTCCATGCTCCACATCTTCATGCTGTTCTTGTCCATCTTTCTGCCAGAACACCATGACTCCACTGGGGTAGAAACCTGTAGCGTGGCAGTTCACTGGAGAGGAGGGGGTCTTCTGGAGCAGAGACACTGAGGGAGGGACTGAAGAGAAGGAGTGAGAGGAAATACATATAAAATCAAAACAGCATTCTTGTAGGGGGGGAATGATGTTGTTGTGCCTCAAGCCAGAAACAACCGGTAATAGGTTTTGATTGAAAAGGACTCTGTCTCTGTACCTGTCCTCTTCAAGATGCTGCTGGTGAAGTTCACATACTTCTTCAAAGTGTCAATACACTCCTTAGTACCATTTGAGATACTGCAGATCCTTGCTGTTGTTGTCCCACTTCTGCTTGATGGTGTCTGCCTGCTGTACGGAGGTTATCCATCTTATGGTCTTCATGTCCAATGATATGAAATCCTCACCATCGTATCCATAGTGATGGAAATAATATTTGAGTTCAGTCTCATCATTCCACTCATAGCCGTACAAGTTCTGGATTGTGTGAACACCTGAGAAAGAGGGAGAGAGATAGGGGTATCTACAGTAAACATGTATTAACTGGACAACGGCCATGTAACACTAGCCATAACTGAGAACAAGGCTAGATGTGGTTTGATGCATGTGTGTTTTAAATGAGAAGAGTTTACTTGATTAATTTGTTTGTGTGTGTGTGTTTGCGTGCATGCACATGTGCATTCTGTTACCTTTTGACTGGGTTTGGTTGAACTGCTTCTTTGCAAACATAATGAGGTTTTTGAAGCCTTCATATTGGTTAATCAGGGGCTCAGTGTAGAGCTCCCAGTAGTATTCTCCTGCATTCTCCTTCATCCACTCAGTGGTGGGGACCAGTGTCTTGGTGTTGCTGTCAAAGTACACAAACTGATGGTCGTCCAGCAAACCCATCACCGTGAACTCTGGGAAGTCAGTATCACCTGAGACTGCAGTGTATAAGTATTTCAGTGAGAGACAGAAGGAAATAATTTATTTATCAGTTTAGATGAAACTGAATGGTAACGCTGGGTTGAGCAACACAACTGGGCGGCAGGTAGCTTAGTGGTTAAGAGTGTTGTGCCAGTAACTGAAAGGATGCTGGTTCTAATCCCCGAGCCGACTAGATGAAAAATCTGTCGATGTGCCCTTGAGCAAGGCACTTAACCCTAATTGCTCCTGTAAGTCGCTCTGGATAAGAGCGTCTGCTAAATGACTAAAATGAAACTGTATACTTTCTTTCACTATTCTCTCCATCATGGCAAACAAACAGGGTCATAACTTGTTAATGTTTAGCCATCAAGTTTCATCTTTAACGAGTGACACAATGGTGCATAAAACACCTTCAGTTATTCAATAAAGACAACAAGTACTAATTAAGATGGGTTTACAAATTCAATTATTTTAATCTTCATGTTGATGTTGCCATAATGAGTTTCATACTGTCTGATATGCACTGTTTTATATGTTATGTCCCTGATGGGTTGCCGTAGATGACTGTTGGGTATGAAGTTGTAGGTGAAATGAAAACACACCAGTGGAGGAATTATGATCTAATAGGAGATGAAAGCAGTACAATGTCATAATTTAACATGTACATTTTAGTCATTTAGCAGACACTCTTATTCAGAGCGACTTACAGTTAGTGCATTCATCTTAAGAGACAGAAGCTAGGTGGGACAACCACAGATCACAGTCATAGGAAGTACATTTTTCCTCAGTAAAGTATCTATCAGCAAAGTCAGAGCTAGTAAGAAAAAAATTAAGTAAAGTGCGAGTGTTAGTTCAAGAAAAGGGTTGGAGGTGCTGTGTTATTATTTAAGATACTCTTTGAAGAGGTAGGGTTTCAAATATTTTCAGAAGATGGGCAAGGAATCTGCTGTGCTAGCTTCAGGGGGAAGCTGGTTCCACCATTGGGGTGCTAGGACAGAGAAGAGCTTTGACTGGGCTGAGCAAGAGCTGCTCTCCCGTAGGGGTGGGAGGGCCAAGAGACCAGAGGTAAAAGAATGGAGTGCTCGGGTTGGGGTGTAGGGTTTGAGCAGGTGAACTGAGCAACATAAATTGAAATAGAAAGTAACTTAGGCTACAGTGAAGGATGAACAATGCCACAGTGCCATCTATAGGTAGACTGTAACTCTCCTCACCACTGTTTCAGAGAAATCACCTGATGAGTCACTTGACTTTTGTGTGTCAAGTTTCCCCTAGGTACAGATCTAGGATCAGCTTCCCCACCCATAATCCTAACCTTAATCGTGGGTGGTAAAATACATATCTGATCCTGTATCAACTTCTACCAACTCCCTCTGGCATAGTCCATATTTATTGTCAACAGAGAACTGCATTTGATTGGGCACACACCAGGAAGTAAGATGGGCAGGGCAGAGGCCCTAGCTTGCCTTGTTAATCAGATAAAAGTCTCAGGTCTGCAAACAGTCTGGAAATTCTGTGACATTCCAACTCTGGAGAAATAAAAAACAAGAAATGTTCTATTGAAAAGGCAGCTGATTTCATCTGTTGACTGGATATACAAAACATAGTAAGCCATATCTGAATACAAAAATCTGTAAAAAGTATTTAGGGCTCAAATCTTTGCTATGGTGTTATGTTTGTTTTTTCACACATAAAACATAACACATCATGGAATAATGAGTGACTGTTGGGTATGATGTTGTAGGTGACATGAAAACACAGGAATTACGATCCAATAGGAGATGAAAGAAGTACAATGTCATCAGGCACCAGAGTGAACTGAGCAACATCAGTTGAAATAGAAAACAAGTAAATGTCATTGATTATTGAGATGTTTTAATGTTCATACTGATGAATAAATAACATCATACCTTATTTATAGTTATAACAAATATCTGTTTGCCTCAAGCTATATCATGGATGGTCAGTCCTTGCATCCATAGCTCTGTCAATGAGTTTGAGAGTAGTAACATTTCTCTAGCCCCGTCCCATAGCTTTTTAACGAAACAGGGACATGGAAGACCCTTTATTATTTCTACTGCTTCATATTGTAGCCTGCAGTACGCTATCTATGTGAGTGCAGTATAATGAAAAGACTGACTCCTACTACCCTGACCAAGGGCTTTTGGTCTTGCTGGCAAAGGCTAATCCCATGTCAGTTAGACCAAAGGACTGAAGGCTCTTGTTCAAAGACTAGGAAACACTTACATACACACGTGCTACAATTTCATATATCGTTGTTGTTGTAGGAAGACACCCCATATCGGCTAACATCAGGGGTACCCTTGTCTCTCATCATGAACGGGGTATGAAAAGGAGGTCCTCAGCCCTGATTTAGGGGAGCGTGGGGAAAGAAATAGGCTGCGTTCCGATACCCTGCATCCACAAGTGTCCACACTTTCATTTCACCTCACGCATTTAAAAGTATTGGATTGGTGCAGGCATAATGGGGAGACATTCCACTACAGCACAAGACCACTGGACGACCCCAGGCCAAGTGTTTGCTTTCCTAACCCCCTGTGTTGTTAGAACATTGTGAAAAAAAGAATAAACAATTCACCAACTAAAACAGGCAACAGTGTAAAATCATGTTTAATTACAGTACTGTAAACGGCATTTTATCAACACAGAAGTTATACAGTGTTATGCTTGAATGGTTTTAGTTGAGTTACATCTAATGACAATGCTTTCCTTTCAAATTACAAAACAGGATTGGTAACTATGGGCTTTCACTTAACGCCTGCTCCAACACCCAGCGCCCCGAAGCTGCTGGTTATAAGCGCAGTGTCTTCCTATAACTTGTTTTGCGCAGAGGTGCTGAAGGGAAAAGGTATGTATTCTCAGATGAATGTGTATTCCAACATAAAAAATGTAGTACTACATACAGATGTGAAATGTTTAGAATCATTTTCATCTCTCCATTCCATAATGCGTTTTTCCACAGTAATCGTTTTTTAGTCAGCAAAATATGATACATTCCTCATTTCAAATAAGATTGTTTCCTCCTGGATAATTTTTTAAAAGGGGTTTTAAAGTAAAAGTATTATTTAAAAAATGATATTAACTGGCCAACGACATCCTTTTTTTGTGTGTTTTTTTCCCTGACACACTAATAATAATAATAATAATAATAATAATAATAATAATAAAATGATTTATTTTAACTTGGCGGACGCCTTTCAGGACACTCAAGGACATCTTACATTAAAAGTAGGCCTACATAAAATGAAGTGTGATACATAAGTTATCAAATCAAGTGCATCAATCAACAATGCAATATAAAATTGAAACAATCTAAAATCAAAGGACCAGACAAAACAGGACAGACAAAAAGAGGAGGGAGGGGTTGGGAAGAGGATACAAACCCGGTTTAGGGTAAAGGTTTGGTTTAAGGTGGTAGGGTTGGGAATAGGAGCTAAAGGCCCGGGCACCCATGGTGGAGAGGTGGAATGGGGGGGAGACAAGGAGACCAGCAGAAGGGGAGTGGAGGGAGCGGGAGAGGGCATAGACTGGGAGAAGATCAGAGGGCTAGGTGGGTGCCAGGTTGTAGAGGGCTTCGTAGGCGAGGAGGAGTGCTTTAAAGTTAATACAGGCTTGCACAGGGAGCCAGAGTAGATTGATGAGGATTGGTTTGATGTGTTCAGTTGATCTGGTGTGGGTGTGGATTCTGGCAGCAGAGTTCAGAACCAGTTGGAGTCTATTGATGAGTTTGGTGGGGATCCGGTGAGGAGAGTGTTACAGCGGTACTGGGTCGGGAAGTAACGAAAGCATGGATGAGGGTTTCGGTGCTGGAGTGTGACAGTGAGGGGCGGAGCCTGGAGATATTGCTGAGGTGGAAGAATGCTGTCCGGGTTCTGGTTTTTATGTGGGGTTTGAAATAGAGGGAACTGTCCAGGGAGACACTGAGGCTTTTGACTTGTGTTTACAGAGGGACCGGGAAACCATCTGTGGTGATGCTTGGAGAGAGTGGATCTGAAGCCGATGAGCATGACCTCTGTCTTGTTGCTGTTGAGTTTGAGGAGGTTCATGTTCATCCCGCTCTGGATGTCGTGAAGGCAGCTGATGAGGGAGGTGGGAGGGAGGGGAGTGGTGGGTTTGGTGGAGAGGTAGAGCTGGGTGTCATCAGCATAGCAGAGGAAGTGAACTTTGTGATGTCACATCTTGCCCAGGGGTAGGAGGTATATGGATTCTTCTGACAATAAGCATTCATGGTTGAGGAAGGTTTTTGTACACTATTGAGTGATTTACAGGAATGAGGTCCATGGTTTGAATCATAAGTGAAATGTATTCAGAAATATATTACTTACAACTATGAGGCTCACTACAAATCACTTATCAATCCATAATCATTCAGCAGCTGTGAGATGGATGCCTATGTAAGTAGTAATGACAGTGTATCTAGTCACACTACATCAAGCTGCCCTCAAACCTATATAGCTAGTACACAGTAATAAATCAGTATCAACATTGGTCTGAAACATGTTGGCTGGAGTTGTGCTGTTATCTAACAACCAATACCGCTAGACTGTAATAACATAGTAGTTAAATAGCAGTTATTATATAAGTACAAAGTACCATGTTTCCTAATTGGTTTCCAAGTGAACAGTAAGAAAGCATTTTTATCCAGAAGAATGCTGGCACTATCACACCTGAATTGACTGGCCAATGAATCACAATGACCTTGATACAGCCTAATGCAATCAGTTGTATCTGACGTGCCTGAGATAGATTTCAAATAGACAGCAGATTTATTTTCTGAAGCATCAATATCTTTCAGCACCAATATTAGAGAGTTACATCTCTATAATCACCATTGGAGCGCTCCGCAATAATATCACACAATCTTCAGCGCTAACGCTCACACAATGATCCTATCACCAATGATTAGCGTTCACTTTAAAATAGAAACAGCTATACATACAAAGGTTATAGGTTTAGGGAGATGTGGCCAGGGAGAAGGAGAGCTGATCCTGGC